GTCCTGCTCACCCAGGGCCCTCGATGGTCACTTGGCAAAGCGTTCCTGGGCAGTGTCAGAGCGGAAGCCATTGGAGGGCACTGACCGGGCAGGGCAAGGCCAGATGGTGGAAAAACAGAAGACATTTATTCCCAAGAAGATTTAGGGGGACCAACGGGCCGTTAGATGATAGGGATGTGTAATGGGGTGTTTCAGCAGGCAGGACCCGGAGCAGTGGCAGCGGAGACGGAGGCCCGTGGCGGTTTAGGGAGGACTTCTGTAGCTTCTCTACTTGCACAATGGCTCATCGTGTGAGGTAGTGAGCCTCCTGTCGCGGGGAGAAGGGTGGGGTGGAGGGGGCGTCATAAGGAAGAAGGGCGGAACCGGTGGTTTGCAGGGCCTTTCCGCATGTGAGCTTCTAGGAATCGAAGGTTGTCCCAGCTTCCCGGGGTGACCTAGAACTTTCCCGTGGAGAAGAGAAGAGCCATTTCAGGGCATGGGGAGCGCCAGCTGCAGGGAGAGACAGGGTACCGCTCCGGGTCCTGCAAGACCCTGAGTAGCCCTCTCTCCCTTAGGAGGTCCGCCCCGAGGGCAGGGACTTGTCTCAGCCACCACGGTGTTCCCCGTGCTCAGAACCGGTCCAGGGTATAGTAGGTGCTCAGTAAACCTGTGGCTTCCAAGCCCGGCGCTGGGATCCGAGTCCCGGGGGAGCCCTGCCCACTTGCTGGCTGTGTGGTCCCGGCTGGCTCCTTCACCTCTCTGAGGTGTTCCCTTGTCTCCTAAGTGCACGGTGACCTGAGGTGACCGCCATCCCTCCCAGCCAGGGAGCAAAGCAGAGGCTGAGCTGGCACACAGGGGACCCCACCGGGCCTGGCTGCTCCCCTATTCTCAGCAGCAATGCTCACCTCTCTTTGTTGCTGGGCCCACCTCCTCCATTCCCACTGTTCCCTGGGCAGCAGCCTGCCGGCCGACAGGGAAGGGCAGGCCAGTTGGCGGGGCCAAAGGTGGGCGAGCTCGGGGCTGGCGGAGCCTGGGCTGGGTGAGGCTGAGTCACATCCATCACAGCCTCAAGGGTGGGGGTGGGTGTCATGGTGACAGGACACTCACTTCCGGTGGGCAGGGTGCTGTATCACGCCTCAAGGCAAACAGAGAGGCTTTGAGAAAGACAGGAAACGGGAGGACAAGTGGAGAAGTTCATCCCATCGCCGCCCAGGGATCCCTTCAGCGGAAGCACCTGGAGCAAAGCTCCCGCCTGCACCTGGCCCTCCTGCCACTTGGCCTGTAGCCGCTGCCCAGGGCGGGTACAGCTGAAGCTCCAGGCCTCCCTGCTCACAGCCATCCACGCCCCTCCCCCACAGCCCCCCCCCCCGGCTACCCCCCCCCCCCCACTAGGCCACAGCTCAGCCTGGCCGGGTGGCGCAGTTGGTAGGAGTGTCGTCCCGTACACCGAAAGGTTGCATGTTCGAGTCCCGATTCCCACTCAGGGCACGTATCTAGGTTTTGGGTTTGATCCCCAGTCAGGGCATGTATGGGAGGCAACCAATCAATGTTGGTCTCTCACATGGGTGTTTCTCTCTCTCTCTCCCTTCCTCTCTCTCTCAAATCAATAAACATATCTTTGGGTGAGGATTTAAAAAAGACCACAGCTCATGCTGTTCCGTCATCCTGGCATGCTCCTCCCTGCCCGAGGCCACCTGCTGAAATCCTGCCCGTTCCGAGGCCCACAGTTAAAACACCATGGTTTGGCCCTGGCTGGTGCTGCTCAGTGGATAGAGCGTCGGCCTGTGGACCCAAGGGTCCCAGGTTCGATTCCGGTCAAGGGCATGTACCTGGTTGCAGGCTCCTCCCCGGTCCAGGCCCTGCTCAGGGCTCATGCAGGAAGCAGCCAATCCATGTGTTTCTCTCACATTAATGTTTCTCTCTGTCTTTCCCTCTCTCTTCCATTCTCTAAAAATCAATGGAAAAATATCCTCGGGTGAGAATTTAAAAAACAAACAAATAAACAGACAAACAAACAAATAAATAAATAAAAATAAAACACCATGGATTTTTTAAAACCATCTTTAAAAAATATATTTTCTTTTATTTCAGAGAGGAAGGGAGAGGGAGAGAGAGAGATAGAAACATCCATGAAGAGAGAGAATCATTGATCAGCTGCCTCCTGCACACCCCACCCAGGGGATCGAGTCCACAACCCGGGCATGTGCCCTGACCGGGAATCGAATCGTGATCTCCTGATTCATGGGTCGACGCTCAATCACTGAGCCACACTGGCCAGGCTAAACCATCTTTTGACACAGCCCCTGCCACTGTCCTCTGCCTGCCCTTGACGTTGCAGGCCTTGCCAGGAGCACCTGCAGGTCAGTCCGTGCTCTAGAGCACTAACCTTCCTCTCCCCTCTGCCCTCTCACTAAATCCCCCCTCCCCCAGCGCGAAGATGCCTGGGGGCCCAAGCATTTCCCTCCAGCTCCACACATTTCTACGCCATTTCTCACCGCTGCTTCTGTTCTCACCGTGAGGCCCTGAGAGGCTATAACTGCTCACTGAGAGAGCTGGGATCGCTCCTGGGTATTTACCCAGGCGAGCTGAGGACCTACGTGCACACAGCAACCTGCGCACGAATGTTTACGGGGTGTATATGTAACTGCCAGCGCTGGGAAGCCACCGAGATGTTCTCTGATAGCTGAACAGATAACTAAATTGGGGCACGTCCAGCCATGGTGTGTTATCAGAGATAAAAAAAAATGAGCTATCAAGTTACGGAAAGACCCGGAGCAGCCTTAAACGCGTGCCTCCAAGTGAAAGAAGCTGCTCTGAAAAGGGGCTGCGTTCTGTGTGATTCCCACCATCTGATATTCTGGAAAAGGCGGAGGAATGGAGACGGGAAAGAGGTCAGTGCGGGCCAAGGGTTGAGGGTGGGGCGAAGGAGGAGTAGGTGGGGCACGGAGGATTTTTAGGGCAGTGAAACCATCTGTATGACATAGTAAGATGGACACCTGCCATATGCACTGGTCAAAATCCACAGAATGTACAGCACAAAGAATGGAGCCCAAGGCAAACCATGGACTCCGATTAATAATAAGCCCGGCCGGCGCGGCTCAGTGGTTGAGCGTTGAGCTATCAACCAGGAGGTCACAGTTCGATTCCCAATCAGGGCACAGGCCCGGGTTGCAGGCAGGATCCCCAGCGTGGGATGTGCAGGAGGCAGCCAATCAATGATTCTCATCATTGATGTTTCCATCTCTCCCTCTCCTTTCCTCTCTGAAATCAATAAAAATATATTAAAACTAGTGGCCCGGTGCACAGATCTGTACACATTGAAAGGAAATTAATTAGAAGAAATGTTTTAATAGCACTATTTGCCTTTTCTCTATAATAGAAGTGTCAACCAAATTCACGATCGACAATGACAGATCAAAACACACTTATGTGATTGGCGCCAGCGAGAGCTTTATATGTATCGCACATGCGCTAGTCAACTTAGCCCTTTATAGATACAGAATAAACTTGCTTAATTAGACCTGCTTTCTGATGTAGCTAAACTTTTCCCAGCCCAGTGATGCACCCCAACTTCTCTTTCAGGTAATGGTCAGCAACACAGCAGTAAATATCAACACGAAGCAGATTATTATTGTCGATCACAGGGAGAACAAAGGGTAAACTATTGAACTGTAGCAGTGTTTGACTATATCAGCAATTCTCAACCTGTGGGTCGCGACCCCTTTGGCGGTGGAACGACCCTTTCACAGGGGTTGCCTAAGACCATCCTGCATATCAGATATTTACATTATTATTCATAACAGTAGCAACATGACAGTTATGAAGTAGCAACGAAAATAATTTTATGGTTGGGTCACAACATGAGGAACTGTATTTAAAGGGCCAGAAGGTTGAGAACCACTGGACTATATTCTGCTCAGTGGGAAAACCTGAAGTCATTTTCAAGGTCTACCATTTCTTCTTTATAGTCAGGTCAAGTTTCTAAGCTTTCTAAATCTCCCTTTTCTGGCTAATGAAAAGAAAATAGGATTCCACCGAGTCTCCTATCTGCCTACTCCAGGACTTCTGTGAGGATCCAATGAGATGAGGCACGGGAAAATGCTTCACAGACATGTGGTTACAGTGTAAAGTGTTCCCACCTGGCTGTAAAGCAAGTCGTGTTCCTGGACTGAGGAAACTGCAAGGAGGCTAGTCGCCAGGGAGAGGAAGCCGGGCGTTGCTGCGTGATGTCATCACCTGGCACCTACAGGCACCTACAGTGGGCTGCATTTCGTGCCATGGGGTCTCGGCAGTTGAGGCTGCGATTTGGTGGGGTGTCGCTCCAAGGTGGTGGCGGGGCCTGTGTTCCACTTGGGAGAAGCCGAGTGTTGCTTTGGGGGCGCCAAGTCCAAGGTGCCGTTTCTCTGTAAATGGCCGGTGCGTGTCCCAGCAGCTCCTGTGTCGAGCGTCTGCCCCCTGGTGGTCACTGCACATCATAGCGACCGGTTGGACGGTCAGACACTTAGCATATTAGCCTTTTATATCTATACTAATAAAAGGGTAATATGCTAATTATACCAGACATCTTCCGGACATCCTTCCAGACAAAGCCACGGTGGCGGGGGCCAAGGCAGAGGCTGTTAGGGGTGACCAGGCCGGCAGGGGAGGGCAGTTAGGGGTGACCAGGCAGGCAGGCAGAATGGTTAGGGGCAATTAGGCAGGCAGGCAGGTAAGTTAGGAGCCAGCGGTCCTGGATTGCGAGAGGGATGTCCAACGGCTGGTTATCCCCCAAGGGGTCCTGGAATGGAGAGGGTGCAGTCTGGGCTGAGAGACCCCCCCCCCGTGCATGAATTTCATGATATGTAGATAATAATAATAATAATAATGCTGTGCTAATATGGATGTAACATGAATGTAAAAACCAGGGGCTCTATGGTGGGGAGGAGAGATGTGTAAGCAGGTGGGGACTCTCTGTATTTTCTGGCCAATGTTTTTGTAAACCTAAAACTGCCCTAAAACCATTCACCTCTTCTTCTCGTCAGCACTGACGTCCTCCTTTGGAGACTGTGCCTCTGTCCTCTCTCATCACAACCTTTCTTCCCCGAGGCCGGAGCCCAGGAGGAGCTGCAGAGGCCCCTGCTGAGGAATTTCCCACCGTGCCGGGTGCCGGGTGCCGGGTGCCCGGTGCGGGTGCCAGGATGAGCTGGCCGAGGAGCTTACCCGTGGAGGATTCGGTCGGTTCCTGAGCTGCGGGGTGGGAGGCCATGCGGGCTCTGGGAGGCCCGGCCAGGCCTGCACTTCCTGAGAGGGAGGGGGGTCTGAGAGGCCTTCCTGAAAGAAGCACCCAGGAGGGTCTCAGAGGAAGGGGATGGGCTCATGTCTGGGGGGTGAGGGGCAGCTAGCAGGGGAGGGAGGACACGGGAGCCAATGCCAGGAGGCGGGAGAGAGCATAGGGTTAGGTGGGCGAGGGCATCACAGAGCAGGTGCCTGGCAACAGCCTCCAACACCCAGGCAGGTCCCAAGACCCTGCTCAGCGCGGCCCAGGCTGGAGACACTGGCCAGGGCAGGACCTCTGCCCCCCCGCCCCCTGGCCCTCCCCACGGGGAGACTTAGAGGGTATGGGTAGTGCGAAGGGCATGGCTTTGGAGCCAAAGGCTGTAGGACCTCGGAGAAGTCACTTCATCTCTCTGAGCCTCAGTTTCCCCAAGTGCAAAGGGGGGCTGTGAGGAAGCAGGAGCTGCTATGTCTAAGCATCGTCACAGGGCCTGTCGCCACGGACGGAGGTCATTGGGCGGCAGCCATGGTTACTCCTGGGGGCTGGGCGGAGCCCGGGCCAGTTCGACCCCATGGGGCGCCCCCCGCCCCCCCAGCCCAGCAGGCGATCTGCCCCAGCAGGTGCTCCGGGAAGGCTGGCCTGGTGACAGCATGAATGAGCACGTGGGGGCCGGGCCCAGCCCTTGTCCCGGGAGGGCCTGGCTCTGGGTGCTGGCTCTGGGCGCACACGGCTGCCGTGGCCCATCATTAACCCGCCGGGCCTGCAGGCGGGCGGCTCTCGGTGCCCACATGATACTCGCATCAGCCTCAATGGGGCACGTGCCGCAACCTGAAACCCCAGCCACAGCTGGAACCAGTTGCACAGAGAACGAGTTGTCACAACAGGAAGGGCGGGTTCAGGAGGGACAGTGGGAGGAGGCGGGCCCTGCTCCCAGTACCAGGCCACCCGGGAGCTGCCGGACCCAGAGGCCTAGAGGGGGGGTACCAGGACTTGGGCTGCTCCCCTGACCTTGGACTTAACCTGCAAGGAGGGTTGTTTGCACACGGCCTTTGGGGACCTGCCTGTGCCCCACCTCAGGTCCCCATCACCTACCCCTCAAATGTGACCTTCCGAGTCCTGCTTATCTTCTTTTTTAAAAAAATATGTTTTTATTGATTTCAGAGAGGAAGGGAGAGGGAGATGGAGACATCGATGATGAGAGGGAATCCTTGAGGCTGCCTCCTGCACGCCCCTCACTGGGGATCGAGCCCACAGCCCGGGCAGGTGCCCTGTGCTTGTTAACTGTGAACCTGCCGACCGGCAGCTCTGGCTGGATCGATATCTGCTGACCGGACCCAGAGGGGAGAGAAAGTGGGTGGCCACGGGCAGTCAGTCCATGGGCAAAGGAGTTGCTTGAACATCTTTTTGTTTATTTTTTGTTAATCTCACTCAAGGATATTTTTTCTAGAGATAGTGGAAGGGAGGTGGTGAGACAGAGAAAGAGAAAGATCAATTAGTTGCCTCCTGCACACTTCCTGACCAGAGCCAGGGACTGAGCCTGCGACTGAGGCATGTGCCCTTGACCGGAATCGAACCTGGGACCCTTCAGTCTGCAGGCTGGCCCTCTATCCGCTGAGCCACACCAGCCAGGGCAGGAGTTGCTTGAAGTTGCTGTGGGCTGTTTGATTGGAGGGGGGTCCGATGGGTCTCAGACTTGGTTGGGGGCTCCTGTAGAGGGAGGGGGACAGGGAGGGAGGCCGGCACGGATGGCCGGGAGGAGCAGAGCCATGGGAGCGGGAACGCAGGCCGCAGGGCGGGGCGGCCGGTGAGGCGGAGAGAAGGTGCCCACATTCCCCCGTGGGTGATGTTGCCAGTGAGCTGAGGCCCAGCGCCCCTGAAACTCATCCTGGGAACAGCAGCCTTAGCTCTGCCGCTCTCGGGCGGGGAGTGCAGGGTGAGGGAGAGAGAGAGAGAGACACACACATCAGTGATGAGAGAGAATCATGGATCGGCTGCCTCCTGCACGCCCCTCACTGGGGATCCAGCCCACAACCCGGGCCTGTGCCCTGACTGGAAATCGAACCCTGACCTCCTGGTTCATAGGTCGACGCTCAACCCCTGAGCCACACCGGCCGGGCTGTGCTGCTTGTCTTTGAGGATGTGCTTTTCTCAGGAGCCCCAGGGCCCCCCAGGCGCTGCTGGCCCCTCTCAGCCCTGCTCTCAGCTGCCTCCTGGGCGCCCACAATGGGCTGCTCAGAGGTGGGGTCTGTGCACTTTCCATTCAGGCCTAGGTGCCCGGCGTCACGCGTGTCAGAGGGAGCCACCAAGGAGGGTCTCAGGGGAGGAGGGTCACAGGGGAGGAGGGTCTCAGGGGAGGAGGGTCACAGGGGAGGAGGGCAGCGTGTGTCTGGGCGGGCTCATCAGCAGTGAGGGGATAGCGGGAGCCAATGCGAGGAGGTGGAGGGTGGGACCGGATGGTGAGGGAGCTAGCGTGTCCACCGGGGCCTGCCAAGCCTGTCACCGGTCACTCTCCCCTTCACAGACCAGGAGGTGGCTCAGGTGGACATGTGCACGATGGCAAAGGCAGGACCAGCAGCAGCGGAGTGAGCACCTACTGCGTGCCGGCACCGTGCAGAAAGCTTTGGTCCATGGCCGCATTTAATCCCCCTCCCCCAGATAGGGGTGAGCCATTGTTCCCCTGTCCAGACAAAGACACTGAGGCCAAGAAATGAGGTGAATTGTCCAAGTCCACAAAGTCTGTTAAAACCAAAAACAAAGCCCAATAATAATAATAATAATAATAATAATAATAATAATAATACAGGGAACTCCTGGCCCGAATTTCCTATTGTTGGAAAGAACACCGTTTTTAACAAAAGGTGAAGCTGGGTCTGTTGCTCAGCCTCTCCTTTCTCCTGACACCAGGACGTGACCGGACCCAACTAGATATTTCGCCACAGACGGGGGTGTCCGTAGGGGCCTGACCTCCACGCTGCTGCTTCCACTCCTGCTGTGATGGGGACACTGGCTACACAAAACCCTGGGCTCTGGGTGAGGAGAGGGCCCGAGGCCATCTCACCTGGAAGCCCCCCACCCCCCGGCGAGGCATGGACGCCCTCCCCCACCCAGGCAGCCCTTGTCCAGGGTTTCCCAGATGGTGACTTAAGTCAGTCACAGACACTCACAAGGACCAGGTCCCTCCTGGTCGGCAGGACCTTGGGAAACAGCTGGTCTGGGGTCCAAGTGCAGCCCTTGATGGCTTCCCGCTGCCTTCAATCGTGGTTTCAAAAGCTCTTTATCTTTTCAGCTGTGGGGCACTTTCCATGACGTCTTCCACGCAACCAATAGCAGCGTTTTACTGGTGTGTGTTCATTTCATAATGTAAGTATTGGTGCACAACTTCTTTTTTACAAGTTCAAGTGTATTAACATTCTTTTGTTATAAACTGAACCAGTAAGAGCAGTGTCACTTTTTTGATGAATGTACATTTTGAGACTGCTACAGGCGTTTTTTAAAAAATTAGTTTCAGGCCTGGCCGTTTGGCTCAGTGGATGGAGCCGTCGGCCTACAGACTGAAGGGTCCCAGGTTCAATTCTGGTCAAGGGCATGTACCTTGGTTATGGGCACATCCCCAGTGGGGAGTGTGCAGGAGGCAGCTGATCAATGTTTCTCTCTCATCGATGTTCCTAACTCTCTATCCCTCTCCCTTTCTCTCTGTAAAAAATCAATAAAATATATTTTTTAAAAATAAAGTTAGTTTCAGCATCTATTATTTTGTATCAAGGAAGTCTGGATGCCCAGGACTAGTGGCATATGATAACACATATCTCGTTTTAGGATCACAGAATGACCTTCAATTTATCAGAGCCGAGCCGGGAGCGGACAAAGGGTGAGATGAGACTTAGCATCAGAATGGAGTCTCCCGTGGTGGCTCCCAGGACCTCCTCCTGACTCCAGGGCATAAGGAAAAAGTTCCTAAGGAAGTCTCTATCTTCACAGGGTAGAAAGTACTTCACAATGTATCGCATAAAGGCTGGGCCTTGGTAGTCTTCATTCAAAGTTTCAAACACTCACTTTAATGTATCACTTTCGTTGTTGACACTTGTTCCACTTTGGGACCAATGGCAACACTGTAACACTAACCGAGCTTTCCCACTTGGTGAAAGTGAGCCGGAGCATCTGTCAGGAACAGTGCTTGCAGAATGCCCGAGGCGCGAGGGCCCAGGGAGGAACTTGTGGGAGACGGGGTGCTCCCCATGTGAGGTGTCTTAGAGGAGCCCAGTTTGGGAAATGACGTGACCATATGCCCCTGACGTTAGGTGGGAGCAGGCTCCAGGCACATGTGTCCGGGCCAGTGGCCCTGGGTGGGATGAGGCCTGGCTGGTGTGGCACAGTGTGGGGCCGTGTGCTGGCTGGTTTTCAGTGAGCGACCTGCGCAGGCCAGAATGGAACGAAACAGAACAAAGCAAGAGAGGCCAGGGTAACTGCTTCCGAATGGATGACACATTTGCAAGGAATTCAGGGGAAAGGTTCATTCCGGGTGTATCTAGAGATGTGTGCCTTTGGCCTCGACGGTTAACACTTTGGTGTCTGTGAAATATCAGTGGTGCGCAGCACTTGTTCTTTGTTCTTTTTTAATCCCAATTTTTTTTTTTTAAATATATTCTATTGACTCCTTACAGAGAGGAAGGGAGAGAGACAGAGAGCCAGAAACATCGATGAGAGAGAATCATCGATCAGCTGCCTCCTGCACACCTCCCACTGGGGATATGCCCGCAACCCAGGTACATGCCCTTGACCGGAATCGAACCCGGGACCTCTCAGTCCGCAGGCCGACGCTCTATCCACTGAGCCAAACCGGTTTCGGCTTTAATCCCAATTTTTAAAAAATTTACAAAATGTGTATGAGCCCTCGGATACACACAACAACCACAGGCTGGGCCTGTGATCTCAAGAATCCGCA